CTTTCGCCCAGTCTGGCTTCCGAGCGCCGGGCCCGGGGCTCCAAGCTGAGAGCTGGGCGGCTCGAGCCGGCGCCGAGGCGCGCGGCTGCTCCTTTACTAGATCATTAAAATACTTTGGAAAACCCCAAAGTGGAGCCGCGCGAAAATGGCCCTTGGCGTGCTTGGGGGAGCCGGGGCGGAGGGGACGGGGGACTTGGGCGAAGAGCAAGGAGAGTGATTTTCCCCAAATTTCTAAGGTTTGCCGATACTGGCAAGTTAGCCCCTTGACTTCTCCACGGGAAAGGGTGCCATTCGGGGGTGGAGGGGGCGTCACCTAGGCGCCCCGCGGTGCAAAATGCGCGCCACAGAAACCTGCAAACTTCAAATAAATGGAGCTAAACTGGGGAGAGGGGGACGAGAGTCAGGGTGGGGGGAGGGGAAGCTTCCATTGTCAGTGACCCAGGTGTACAATGGGAAATTGAGGGGGGGCTGGCAGAGTGACCCAGCTATTTGCCGTTGACTTCTTTGCCCACGCCGAGAACAGAGGACAGACCGTGTCCCCATCATTAGGGACTCTTGAGACCAGAAACCGGCGAAATAGGGGAAGGCTCCCCCATTTTCAGACTGTTTTTGGAGTGCGGTTCTCTTTAAATGTGATAAAACACTGTCGGCGCTGTCTCTTTAAAAGAGTCAAGCAGAAAAAGCTGTGTAAGCGCTGATTGGCTGCCTGTTTGGATACATCTTTAGGGGAGCCTTGAAACTGTTAGCCTAGGTTGATTTTTTTTTTTTTTTTTTTTTAACTGCGCTGTTCCAATAAACAAGTAACGCCCCTCCCCCTAACATGCCTCGCACCAAACAATTAAAGGATAGGTCAGTGTCCTGGGGAAAACACGTTTCGAGTAGGGAAACTCAGAACTAGATTTCAACAAAATAAACAATAATTCCCTACCATTAAAGTTTGCTTATTTTGATCTGTTCGAGAGAGAAAAGGGGCTTTTCAAAGAAATGCCCCACAGCAAATGGATGTGCATCGGTTCAGGAAGGAGACTCTGGGTGCATTTTTGGAAAAATGTACTATTCAGTGTAACAGCCTCCCTAAATTAGAATACAGCCAGGCCCTGCGGACACCTCTGGACTCACTCTGCTGTGTACCAGGAACCAGAGCTCACTGGGGAAAGGGGAAGAAAAAGGGAACGCTGAACCCTAGTTTATGGGCATCTAGTGTACTAGCCTCTAGCTTATTAAAGGTTGTTTTGTGAATGAGAGAAGCCTGAAAGTTGGAAGGAGGTTAAAATACAACGATAGAGGAGAGAAGAAAATAATTACAGTTATTTTTTCCCCTAGGCAGTTTAATTTAATAGGGCCAACTTAGGGTACCTTAGAGTCCACACTAATTAAATTGGCCTGCCCATACCTTCCCCTGGACTTCCTTGTATTTTTGATGGGCTAAGAATGGTCAAAGATGGCTTGTCAACAGACTGACTCACAAGAAGCCTGACTCATCTTGTGTCTGCAAGGCCCACAAATTATGAGTATTGGTTAGGCTTTGGCTAAAGGAAAACACTGCCCTTCTCCGGCCCTAGTACATCTGTGGTCTCTACACAGGTTGGCCATGCCCGATCAGCCTCTGGGCTGCATGCAGCACTAGCATATCTATTTGCCTGTCAATTTTTTCATCTGTCAAATGGCAAAGAGTGTTTAGATGGCAAAGAGTGTTTAGAAGATCTTTAATATCTCTTGATAGTCTGATGTTCTCTGATGCTAAGATTTCCCTTCTGTATTTTTCTCTCTCCACTCCCACCCTGGAAAAAGGACTAGCACCTCCTTCCAGAGTGTGTGTAGCAAGAGGAGAGGGGTGGTGTTCTGGGACCCTTTGCCAGGCACTCTCTTCCTGTGGTCTGCCTTCTGCCAGGGCTTGACACAGAATGATGCTCATGAGTCTCCATGGGTTGATAGGTCCATGGTGGAGCTAAAGGAGAGGGAGAGAGAGCAGGGAGGGTGTCTTACCCCTACCACTGCCATCACCTGCAGGTGAGAAGAGAGCTGATGGTTCCCTGGAAGCAGGACCACTCAAGCAGCCTCAACTAGGTGTGTAGCTGCTGGCACAATTATCCAAAATGTGGTTGGATTAGAAGCAAGTCCAAACACCCAAGAACGGCATTAGAAGCCCCAAACTCCCTTTCCCCACTGGATCCCCCACTCGACACTTCTGTGGACTACATCTTTGGGTCTGCTGTCTCTGCCTGGAATGCCTCTTGCCCCCACCCCCTTTCTTTGACCATTCTTTAAGGCTGACACCCCCTCCAATGCCATCTCCTCCACAAAAACCTCTGCTTTTCACTCCTGGAGCAAAACCCATCCCTCTACTTTTGTCTCATTTTGCTTGAACTTTCATTCGTTCTGTCCATTGTGTAGCCAGTTGTTTACTGTCTCTCCCACCAGACTGGGAGGGCAGGATCAAAGTCTGAGTCATCTGTGTGTCTCCAGCCCTGAGAACAGTTTTGATACCTGTGTGTATATTAACACTGAGTGTGGCACCGGGAGCTGCGGGGTTCCTTGAAAGGAAAAGATCACCTTATCCCCAAAGTACTCTGGGCCCACTGGGGAGATAAGAAACAGACACCACCAACAATAGAATTAGATAAGGCCACTCCCTCAGCTCAGCCCCACCCACATAAGCTACAGCCACCTGGAACTACTGTACTTTCAGTTCCCAGAATGACCAAGCCATTTCATTTATCCACCCTAGATTCACATTCTCTCTTTCTCTTTTCCTCCCTTTCTCCTCCTTCTCTCACTCCCTTGCTTTTTTTCTTTTAGGACATATTTATTGAATACCTACTATGTACTAAGCCCTGTTCTAAGCATTGGGTAATAAACCAGACAAAAATCTTTACCCCCTGGAGCTTACACTTGTGAAATCCTCAGCCCAAAGACTCTTCCTGTGACAGACTCCTACTAATACTTCTAAAATATAGCCTGGGCAAATAGCATTTCCAGAGAGTCTTCCCAGGAATCCCTTTCTGGGCTCCCAGTCTGTGTCAGGTGTGACTCCACCACGACAGTATGCCATTGACCACACTGCGTGGGTGTGGTTCATATATGCATTTCCCCCATGGGGGAACGTGACTCCTTAGGGTCAGGTCCCTTTGGGACCTCCAGTGCCCAGCAACAATGGTGAAAGGAAGAGAAGGACAGAGTGGCCAGATGTGGAGGGACAGGCAGTTGAGAAGTGGGAGCAGGGAGGAAGGAGAGGTGAATTCCAAGCCTAGGCTAGAATGGCCACTCCTCCCTCTCTCAGCTGCCAGGAATGGGGGCAGCAGAAATCCTGGGCTCTGGGACCATGTGGTGGGGGTCGGGCCTCCAGAAGGGGGCAGTTAAAAGAAAGGTACTCAGGCTGGTGGCTCATCCCGGGACGATGTGCTTGCCAAGGTGCCAGAGGACCTTGTTTCCTCTCCCTGGTTCACAGCTCTATCTCCGTGTTCCTCACAGATGCTGGGAGGATAGAGGTTCCTGTTGGGGGCTTGGGGGTTGGTATTTGAATACAAACTGAGTGTCCAGCCCATCTCCCTCTTATTCCCAGCATGCTGTCCTGGAATTGCATGGAGGCATCTCTGATCAAAATCTTGGGCTCTTCCCCAAGAGAGGCTCAGGCCCAGGCTGTTCGGCCCCGGTTTCAGCAGAAGTTTCCCCAGGGGTATCAGGGGACTACATAAGAAGTGTGCAAACTCCAGTGCCCAAAGACCTGGCTTTGAGGCCTGGCTTCACTGCCTCCCTGGCAGACTTTGGGAAAATGACATCTCCTCTTAAGCCTCAGTGTCCTCCCTGTGCAATGAGGAGGTGAATGCGCAAGCCTGAGGCAGGCTGGGAGGACCAAGTGAGGGAGCTGGCGGGAACCACGCTGGAGGCTGTCAGGCGGTGCTGACCGAGCCGAGGTTCTGAACTCCCCCTGACCATGCGGAGCAGCCACTTCAGAAGGGTGCGCGGGGCTTACCAGAGAGAGTAATTGGTGAAATGTTTTGTAAATTGAACAAAATGATTACCCCTGGTGTTATTTTATTTTTTAACAGATGACTGGTAAGGGGATTTTAACCCCTGACTTGGTGTTGTCAGTACCACACTCTCCCATGTGAGCTAACCGGCCATCCCTATATAGGGATCCGAACCCATGGCCTTGGTGTTATCAGCACCACACTCTCCCACGTGAGTCATGGGCCGGCCCTTACCCCTGGTGTTATTTTATTTTTTAACGGATGACTGGTAAGGGGATTTTAACCCCTGACTTGGTGTTGTCAGTGCCATACTCTCCCATGTGAGCTAACCGGCCATCCCTATATAGGGATCCGAACCCATGGCCTTGGTGTTATCAGCACCACACTCTCCCAAGTGAGTCATGGGCCGGCCCTTACCCCTGGTGTTATTAGCATAGCAAGCCAGCAAACAGAGTGGGGCTGAGGAAGAAGGGAGTGGATTTAAGATCAAATGTGTGTTGAGATGTCTTCCGGCCGACACATTCTCATCCTGAATCAACTTGTCACAGCAAAACAGGTTTCAGGTAATATGTAGAATGGGTTTAGTTTGATCTAGAAAGTACCTAGTATGTGCTCAGCCCTGAGCCAGGGACTCTGGGTGGTCCAAGGAAGCACAAGGCCAGGCCTGCCCCCGGGGACGCTGGGGAGAGGAAGCTGACCCTTGGCACTGCAGCTCCCCTCCTGCTCCCCAGAGTGCCCCAGCCTTTGTGTGCAC